CCAAATGACGTCATTCGAAATGACGTAGTACGGCTATGCGGTTTGGAACCATCGAGAACGATGGTCGCTTTCATGGCTAAAATGAGGAAAGGACGGAATTTCATTTCCCTCTGTTAGTCGAGCATTTCTTTGCCAGAAGCCTCGCTGTTAATAGGCACAGTATAGGCTAGGCCTTCTCATTGTCAGCGTCATCCTCTAACCCCACTATCTAATTATAAACGCAGATATTTGAACGCCCGACTAGACCACTGAACAAGGTTCGTGCATTCCTGCCATCATGCTGTTGGTAAACAGAATATTTGTATAAATGAAAGTCAAGCCGCAAATGGATACCGCTTCTCAGGAAGACAGTGGCTAAGAGTGAAGGGGACTATGTCAAAATGTCATTTTATCGCTGTAAAATAAATGCAAGATTTGCGAAAGTTTAATTTGAGGGTGGACGTCATAAAAATGCAGTGTAAAATTCCCCCTGCAGGACACCTCAACGGTTCTTCATCCTCCAGTTAGTTGTTTCTCTGTTTGCAGCTATGATGTATTTTTCCGAGTACATTTCCCCCTCCGTACGGCAAAATATAGCGTGGTTATTCACAAACCTCCATACCGCTTAAACAATATGGCGTTTATCTGTCTTTCTCTACCTAGATGACGGATCAGTAAATAACATTCCACGTTATAAACCTGACGCCTCGCTATTTTCTGTGCCTACATAGCCACTTCGAAGGCCTGTCTGTGCCTATTTTGCCACAAGGAAGGCTTGGCTGGCCGCCAGTGGTATTCGTTGCCAGCTGTTATTTTTATCCCAGGCCTAGTCTTCCGCCTACGGTCTCGCCAACCTGAATGTTTTTGTGTATTGATTGTCAGCAGCAAGGCTAATGTGTGTTATCTGCAGTGGTTGGTTGTGGGTTTCTAGAGATGGTATAGTTTCGCCCAGGACTTTAGAACGTGACGCGCCTTGTCACATGTCACACAAGTATCACAAATATACTGCGTAGTTTTTCTGTCTTTCTGGCCTGTATCTGCAAAATCAAATATGTCTATGATGCCCTTAACCAACTGGTTTACTTTTTCTAATTGTTTAGCGGGACCGAAGAGTATAATATACATTCAGTATACAAATGCAGGTATAAAATTATTGTTACGGCTTATATAAACTAAGTTAGATAACACGTTAGGGTTATAATTAGCACTTATGATGACATAGTTACACGAGAAACAATACATGCAGGTAGGTCGAAAGGTCAAGAGAACTAAGGCTAGGGGCATGTAGTTTAATATGAAGAATGCTTTTAAAAAAGCTAAGGCCAGTGGTAGTTTTATTGAAGAATGCAGCCCGCTTCTCTTCCTCATTTACTTCTGTTGGGGTGTGGGTAAGAATCGCATGCATATTCTTTCTAAGATCTAAGTGGGTCCTCAGTTCTCCTAGGTTGTTCTTTATGATGCCATCTTTTGCATACCCGCCAAGAACTCCTCTTTTATCACTGAGCTGTGGATCTTATAGTCGGTGCTAGGGCATTCTTGTCAGATGGCAGACCTGTTTAGTACATTGTTCTTAACTAAAGTTTCTGACAGACTGTGTCAATCTCATTCCAGTTTTAATCTCCATGCTACTCTGACCGATCTTCTTAAACAGGCATGTCAAACTGCCAGGCTGCATGCGGCCCTTTGCGGGCGCACCTGCGGACCGCACAAAGGAAATATTCTGCAACATTATTTTCATTGCTCCTTGGTAACTTAAAAAAAAAATATGTGTTTTGCGATGGTCTTTAGCGACCCCTGTAAAACGGTCGCGACCCAAAAAAGGGTCGTGACCACAGGTTGAGAACCACTGAACCAGGCAGTCGTAAATAAATGCCAGTCGTGACGCCGCCAGTCACAGGCTTTACACATATGTCATCCAACCCTTCTAGCCTCCTTTGGTTATGCTATAGATGTGGGGTATATTGGTCTGAATATAATGAGCGCTAATTGCCCCTATGTGAACCCACGCAGCTCGTGGAACAACACCGATCGGTCTAGCACACCAGCAAAGGGTTGTATTGAGAGTCAGAAAGAAGACGCATTGTGCTTCACCTGCTATAACAATTACAATGATCACTGTCATGTTTAGATAGATAGATGGGTTTGTAAGGACCACTTTCACTGCAGACAGTATCTTGATTAGTTCACTGTAGATTCCTCCCGTAGAGCAGAAGAGTCTCAGCAGAGTGCATATAACATCGATAGAGATCGAATTTTGCCCTGCCTGGTGTGTGTTCAAGACTAAAGTTAAAGTGTCTATAGTATCCCCTTTCCATCTTCGGGCTAGTCAGACCTTGCTTCTGCTTTCGGGAACGTAGCCATCTGTCATTGTTCTTTATAAATCACTGGACCTGTACTGAAGAGGATTAATGTCATGCAAGATGAACATCCCGAAGAAGCTGACGACAACAAACAGGACTCAGAATCCCTGTCCAAATTGGTGGATCTAGGGTGCAGCAAGACGTTAATATTTCATCAAGGGCACAACGTCTAATTAATCAACACAGCATTGAGGTGATCAGTCGTTTTACTCTTGTAGAGCTACTGAAGCAGAAAACGAAGCACCTATGGATTTGTCCTGAGTGCACATTTTTTTATTAGAAACATTACTTTCTATGAGCCAACATTATTGGATGTTCAGGTTTTGTCAAATTTCAGTACTTGTCATTTTTTTTTTTAAAGGTTTGTGGTATCTAGAAATGTACCGTAAGATTCAAGCTCAAAAACCATGACTTTGATTTTCTACTTTACTGACTGTGAAATGGTCTGGCCTGAGTAGCTCTTCGAATTAAAATTTGCGTTGTTCTATTTTGTCATGCCAGCTGGTTCGACTTGCCATTGCCGAGGAACCTTTTAAATGTATGTATCGGGTCCTCTTGAGTTTTTCGCTCTTGTCTGACCAGGCTATACGTCCGATCCACTGTCCCGTGGTGAGGTAGGGGCACTTTTTTCATATATTGTAAAAATCCAATCAGTACTGTGAGGTCTTCTTGAGTGACAGACACCGTAACCATACACATGTCAAATAATGAGCCCATTTCCCAGGCTTTGCGAGTGCTGTCATCATCATCATGAAGCAAGCTCTTTGCAGAGCGTCGCAGTCACATTACGTCTCTAACCTTACGTTCCCGCTTGTGAACTCTAAGGCAGAAGGAGTCTTTGATATCCCGGTCCCAGCGTCTTGCTTTTTCTCTCTCCAGAAACCGCATCCTCACTTACTTTACTGCGGACCATTATGGCTTTTAATATAACTGACACATTCCAACAGCAGGGCCCGCATACATATTAACTAGAACTGTATAACGGACGTGCACGCAAAACTCAAGTTCTGGAACAAGACCAAAGTCCAGAAAGGAACGAACAACCAGAACTTTCCGCCATAGTTTATAGTCGGTACACGCTAGAAGAGCAAGAAGAAGCCCCCATTTCTCCTATTCAGATCGTGAAGAATACAAATCAGCTCCACCCCCCCCCCCCACCCCTCCCCTCTTCTTTACACCGCGAAAGTGGTAAGTACTGGCAGGTTTTTGGCTGAATGCTACTCGTTTCACCATCGTTGTCCATTGTAAGATGTTCCCTGTAACACTCAGATGTTGAGAAAGCTAAATGCTGTGAAGCTGAGTGAGTCACTAAAACCGTCTTTACTTTTCATGAAGTCCCCATGGCTGACTGGCAATCTGGTCAGGCTTCTGTTTTCTTCTTCGCTTTCACCGGCTCTAAACTCCGGCGAAAAATTGTGGGTGTTTGTCCACCCCGGACTTTAGTCTTGTTCCAGAATTTGAGTTTTGCGTGCACACCCGTTTCACATATCTATCTTATATGTATGCATACTCTTTGTTCCTTGTCACTAAGGCAGATGTACCCCGACTTCGAAGGATGCCCAATTAGTCGACTCCTACGACATGCTGTTTTGGCAAGGTAGTAGCTCTGCTCATGTTTTTCCCACAATGGGGGCCAGAAAGCCTTCTTTGAACTTTTCATTAATCTGAGTGACTTATTCTGTCAGTTTCCTTTATCACATTATTTCAAGTTTTGGGCTTTGCCAGTAGGCTCATTTTTCGTATGCTTTATTTGCACGTTGTCACAGATACTTGGCTATGGTTCCCAACCTTGCTATTTTACCCTGTAACATTCGCCACCTATCTGGTGTGTTCACACTCAATGTAGACTTTGGGAGTCGGGGAGGAAGTTCATTATTGTCCTCGGCGGTGAAGTGGATCTCGAAGGCGGCGAGATGTGGTCGTTTAAAATGAAAGTACCGCGAAGTGAATGGTCCGTTTACCGGGAGCTCTGAAGGTCGCGGGTTCATTTCAGACTGTCCTTGGGTTCCCAAGCGCAGGTGTGGTTTTTTGACACGGCCGGCTGTTGCTTTGTCTACAGGAGGGGTGGTTTTCGAGATTCGTGGGCGTGGTCACTTTAACTACCACTGCGACATTTCCTGTTTTATGCGTCGTTTTCGTTGAGAGAACCGTTATGTGACGAAAGGCCGTGTTATATGAAATAAAAGCCGGTGCAATGAAGTCGATCAATTTTCTCGCACCTAAACACTTTCCATGTGTCCAATCTGTCACATTGCAGTAAAAAAAAATGTCTACTGCAGTAATAAAGCGTTAAATCATTCCTGCGTGGTGGTGAAAATAGGCAGATGTCGCCAGTACAAAGCCAGTTGTCAATGCAAGGCTATCTGCGCTCCAAACTCACCCGACTTTCGCGAAGAAGTCAGTGTCTATTTTTATACCGGCGATTGTGGAGTCGCGGTGACACAGTTAAATGTGTAATAGGTTTTTTCCTGCCTTTATTGGCGCGAATGCTGGCCCTCTTTTGTAGTTAGCACGTGGTGTGTGTGAATGTATGGTTTAGCTTCATTTAAAGAGCGTAGAAGGGAGTGAGTGTCCTCATATACGATTCCCTCACACAGAAAAGACAGACACCACAGCAGCCACTCACGTGTGTATCTAGACCAGGCACGGTCCAAACCAAATATGGATGACTATGAGAACGGAGAACTGTCGGACTCGAATGAAGATCCCCTGACACCGATAAGACACAGCATTGCTCCCCAGCGAATTGTGAAAGACAAGAAAGAGCACCGGTCATCATTGACTGACGTAGCAGAGGCAGGTGAAGCAGAAGATGGAGAGATCTTGGAAGAGGGAGAGCTCAGTGATGATGCTGCAGTAGTGGGCAAGGATGAGGAGAGTGTAGGCAGAGATGTTGCTGAAGGTATGAAGTTTCAATTACAAAACAAAACTGCATGTTTATCATTTATGGCACATGGTGATGTCCCAGCCCCAACAAAGTCCCACAAAAATCATGATTGGTTGTAGCTATACCCAAATCCAAGCCATACAATCTTTCTCTGAAACCCCCCACCCCTTTTCCCCATGTTATGTCTCTCTTATCCTAACAACTGTGAATGTTGGTTCTCATATTCTCTTGTGTTGTTTTGTGCTAATGTCTAGTAAGATTACCATCAGCTAAACAGTTTATGAGAATAATGCATCCATTGTGTAATTTGTGAACAGATGAAGATAAAACCATAGGTAGTAAAACTGCTCATTTGTGAACAGGAACAAATGTGACGTGGTTATAGTGCAAGTAACAAAAGACTGAAAAGTCAGAGAAGGTGAATAACCTTGGTGCATTGCTCTAGCACCATTTATTGGTAGCTACTGTACTGGCTCCTTTCATTTTGACAAGTTGATGTAAAAAATGAAGTCACTTTCAACAAACAGAAATAGAATCCCTTGAAATAACCTCGTTTGCTATGTTACTAAAGCTTTTCAGGTGTGAGTTTGGCATATTAGTGACAATCCTCACCAGGGATATGTAGGGCTGAAAGACCCAGATATCATAGTCATTCTGCAACTTAAGCATACAAATATTTTTACTCAGTTTGTTTTAAAGAAGACAGAATTCCCACCTGCTTATCTTTCTTTGCACATTCTGCAGAGTCTAGAAGTCTTTGTCTGCACATAGTTTTATCATTGAGGACAGTGTCTTGTTTGTGTCCTTGCATGGAATGAGGCAAGGATGTTTTTCACCGAGCCTATTCAAAGGTTATTTCGAGAATGTGGTGAGGAAGTAAATCTAAACCATGACACAGGAGCTAAAAATGAATATTCAGTTTGTTCCTCAAACTACAGACATTCATTAACTGGTTCCTCCCTGTGTGGGTTCCAGGGCCCATTGTAGGGAAAACAAGAATAGACCCACTGCCTCCCCAACAAGTATATAGTAGAAGTCGACTAATTGGGGCTTTCCTTCGAAATCAGAGTGCATCTCCCCGAACAACCAACTGCACACAAATAAGCCAGTAAAACGGATGTACACGCATCAGGCCCCGGCACAAAGCCACAGTCCAGGAGGTCAAACAACCAGGACTTTCCGTTGGAGCTTACAGCTGGTAAACAAAGAAGACGAAGATTAACTGGTCCCTACATGGAATTCTAACAGTAAAATATTATAGAAGAATCACTAATGGTCAGCTCTCGGAGAGAAGTAAAATTCCTGTGATTCAAGGGGTGAGGAAAAGGTGCTAGTATTGGATAAGACTTATTGAGAAGATCTGATATTGTAGATAGAACATCCTTTGTACTAGAACCCACAGCGTTGTAAAGGCAGGCCAAAAAGACACTTGGAGAAGAGAATTATAGAATAGGGTGAACAAGATGGGAGGACATGAAGTGAGCCGCCTGCGATGACAGAAAGGATAGGATGCATTTGCATAAGTTGATTGAGGATCTATGCTCTATTTGGGGATAAAGAACAGCAGAAGAAAAAGGTGTGCCATAACTTTTGTAGGTTACAAAACCATCGCAGGATAAACAGAGAGCTCACCATGACAGTTTGTTTACCAAAACAACACTTAAATTATTTAACATGCAGATATATTCTAGTACACAAAAATGATGATTCACTGCAATTACAGCAAAAATATTTAGAATGCAGGTAAATTCTAGCATACAAAAGTGATGATTCAGTGCAATTACAGCTAAATTATTTAGCATGCGGATATAGTTTAGTTTACAAACAAGTGATGATTCAGTGCAATTACAGCTAAATTATTTAGCATACAGATATAGTCTAGTTTACAAACAAGTGATGATTTAAAGCAGTGACAGCTAAAGTATTTAGCATGCATATATATTCTAGCTTACAAAAGTGATGATTCAGTGCAATTACAGCTAAAGTTTTTAGCATGCAGATAAATTCTAGCATGTAAAAGTGACGATTCAGAGCAATGGCAGCTAAAGTATTAAGCATATAGATAAACGATAGTGTGCAAAAGACAAAGCACAAATATTAGCATCAAGTAAAGGCCATTGAACATGAACAGCAGCTTCCCTGTCTGGGCCAGATCAGAGATAAAGATTATAATAGATCTAGGGTTATAATAGCCAAAAATCATCATACCAAGACAAATAAACATGTTTAAAAATTGCAGGTTAAAATCAGTATTGAGTTACTGAAATGAATAATTGTTATACATCTCTGGCCCATAGTGATTGTGAAACATGGACTCTAAAGTAAGGTTAACAGAACTTATAAGCTGTTGAGCTGCAGTGTTGTCGCAGGATACAGAGAGTGAGCTGAACACAAGAGTGATAATAACATTATTTAAAGAGGCCCTGGAGAACATTGGCAGATGTAAGCTGTCTTGGCTCAGTCCTAGTATGAAACTTCTGGTCTCCTGTTGAACAATACTTAAGGGATTTTGGATATTTTGCTTGGTTATCGTATGTGAATCTGTCATTGTCAAGTCTGTTCAGTGAACTCATGACATTCTGGACATGGTGGCTCTGGTTTTATCTTTCTTCCTCCACCGCTTCCTTCATGAGCATTATACACTCGGCCAAAAGTACTAAGACAAACCAGCAAGAAGGTGTTGGAGCAAGGTGTCCTCAAGAGTTGTACCTAGCATATAGGAATGGCATTACATACATTTTCCAGCTAGAGTACACACCTCTTGCTTTTACAGATACCCTGGGCAAGTGAGCCTCCAAAGAATACATTAGGACAGCCAGAGCTTTCTTCCTCCTATTCATCACAAAGTGTATAAAAAAGGTGTCGGTACTCACTACAGTATCTGTTACAATAATGTTGGGGAAAAAATTGGGCTTATAAAGGTTTTGGCACTGTGTACCATTGTGTACCATCAGAAAAAGTCCAGAATACACCTTAAAAAAGGATGCAGCAGTCTTAATGGATTTAAGAGGAGTTGTCAAAATAATGATTTGTGAAGGTCACTGGGGAGCTAACAATATGCTCAGTGTTCTGCATCTCCAAACAAAATGTAACAACAGCACCATAATTGTAAGCTAGTGTTAAATGAACCATTGCTGTCAAGAAGAATAAGTAGAATATCCAGGTATCAGCTTGAATTGTCACCTCACATAGAAGACAGGCTGAAATAAATCAAACAAGAGCATGGCATAAAATGACAGTTATGAAACAGTTTGCTGGTGCAACTCACAAAGCAGATGAGAAAGTTCTTAAGAAGCTTCTTCTTCTTGTGTTCTTTTTCTGATTTACACTGACAAACAAACAAGTTTATGTGACAAACTTGACTGTTTTTATGAGCTTCTTTTTAGTTCCATACAACTTTGAGTACAGTGTTGACTCAGTGGGCCAGTATTCCATTTATCTATACAAGAGACATTCTTGCAGGACAGGTTCTGTAGTCTGTGAGGACAGCCCACATGGGCACAGTGGTGAAATACTTAGACAAAGCCTGTGCATATGCTTGTTAAGTTTGCTATGTCCTGTCCTATCCTATGGCATAAAATAAATACCTTCCCTTGACACTTAAGTAAGTGATCATCTCTGGCCAAATTCTTTTCACTTCTGATAGACTGGACGGCCCTTTTTTTCTCAAAGTATGTTATTGCATTTTTTTCTGTTTACATTTGCCCCCATTCTTAGCAAGTTTCTTCACGGTTTTGTATCCTGTTATACCACAGTGGAATGGCACTGACTAGAGTACAGTACGCTTTTGGGCAGCCAGCTTGCTAAGTTCAGATCTCAGGGAATTTACCACTCTTGAGAGACTGGAGCACCGATAGCGTGTATGTGAAGATGACCACGTGGTGGCAGTCAGAACTGGTGTTGTGAAACATTTCTGCAGCCTGCTCTAGTGCTAGGATTGTGAGAATTTACCAGTGGTATATACTTTGTGTGGAAGTGATTGTCTGGGTATGTGATAAAGATGCCAGCACCCCCATTTTGTTCATGATAGTTTTCCTGGATTATAATAAGAGCAACTGATAATTTTTAAAGGTCACTGGATTCAACTCTGGCTGAGTCCATTGACTGAAGTCATTATCTGTGTTGTGTTGCTGAGTTTAAGGTACAGGGTATAGGGTAGGTTTTAGCAATGTTGTTTTCATGGGCATATCTGCTTGATACTGTCTTTTAAGTCTTTTTCTCTGGTGGACAAAGCTGCTGATACATTTGAGACTCCTCAGTGCCAGATCATCTGGTCTTGCTTTCATTGGGTGTGACTGCTTACTATTGAACTCCAGGATTGGTGTAGTTTTTGTGAATCTTGTGATGAGTCTAAGGGCTTGCTTGATTTTGTACTCTGTGTCTTATGATTGTAGGTGAGAGTTAGTGGCTGTTGCACCAAACTCCAAGTGGGGTCATCGCTTCTTCAAAGAAGCTGTGTAGTGGCCCATTGAGGCTAGTTCTTGTATTTGGGCTATTGCAGTTAAACTTAAATAAATATAGAATTATGGGTGTGGATCATAACTGGCAAGCGCAGTTAAGTTAAACTTTAACAAAATAAAAATATAGAATTAGTGATGGGGATTATTACTGGAGGCTAGAAAACACATATTAAGTAACTGGACAGATGAAATAGCAGAGCACAGAAACAGGCAGACAAAAAAACCCACTAAAATTATCAGAGGTAAAGTCTTGTCAAGAGAATTCAAGCAATCTTTGTAGAATTTGCGAAAAAAATATAAATAAATAAATAACTAGGACATTTCTTATACCAAACATCACATTAACCAAACCTTCCCCCTATGGTTCCAGGGCCCTGTTGTGGGAAAAACAAGAATAGACTCACTGCCTACCCAAAAGCATGACATAGAGAGTTGACTAATCAGGAGCTTCCTTCAAAGTTAGAGTGTGTCTTAAGAGGCTAGGAACCAAGAGTGCATCCAGAAGTGGATGAACAACCAGAACTTTCCGTTAGAGTTTACAGCCGGTCAGTGTGAAGAAGGAGAAGAAGAGTAGCCAAACCCATCAGTGATGCAGAGGTTCTCAGCTTGAAGATAGCTCCTGCCTGAGATGGTACACAACATTGTCAGTACTGAAGAAAGAAATAAAGCAAAATAAACAGAGACAACAAAAATGACATTAAAGTACATACAAAACATTACTCAAATACCACCCAGACATATGCATTACATATGTGAAGCACATAAAACTGTCAGTGGCAACTGGACAATTTTTAAGTAACTTCCAATCACTTGAAAACTACAGATGTGGATACAGGAAACATTTAGACAAGCAGGCAAGCTTTCTTCACAACGAGTTGCCAATTTTCTTAATATGAAGAGCAAAAACCACCAAGTTAACAGACCAAAGAGCCAGACGGACACCTTTTAATACAGTGGATCATGCCCATAGTCAACAGAAGCTTGACAAGAGCTGGTTTTCTAGCAGTGAACCATCCTATAAACCTTGAGAAGTCACAAAGTAAGTGAACCCTCCTAAACCTTGAGGAGTCACAAAGTAACTAAACCCTCCTAAACCTTGAGGAGTCACAAAGTAACTGAACCCTCCTAAACCTTGAGGAGTCACAAAGTAAGTGAACCCTCCTAAACCTTGAGGAGTCACAAAGTAACTGAACCCTCCTAAACCATGAGGAATCACAAAGTAACAAATGTGGATGATGGGATAAAGATGCCTGTTAGTTATAATTTAGAACTCCAACTGGTACTTCTCTGTTATTGGTTCACTATTGTCGTATCAAAATTAGAAGAAAATCTCATTCAGAGTTGAAGTACATCTGCCTGAGAGACAATGAACCAACAGTCTGCAAATAAATGTGCCAGATCTGTAAAATGCAAAACTCAAGTTCTGGAACAAGACTATAAAGTCCAGAAGTGGGCAAACAACCAGAACTTTTGGCTGGAGTTTGCAGCCGGTGAATAAGAAGAAGCAAGTCTTTATGAAGACAGTAATTAAGTATAGAGAACACCAGTAATAAGCTTAACTACTGGCTCAGTCCAGTCTAAAATGAGTACCAGGATATGTCTGGAGAACTAGAGGTGGCTAATGTGTTGTTGACCACATCATTGATCAAGTCTCATTTGGCCTAAACAAACCTTGGGTCTAGCACCATACCTGGATGTATTATGCACCAGTGAAAGGATCCTGAGAAAAGGGCCCAAATGGTAGAGTATATTAATACATTCACTGGATGGGTGAGGACTGACTAGATGACAGTCACCTCAGAATAAACAAATGTGTATATAGAAGACTAATGGTAGTTATCAGCTCATTGACTAATGGAATGAGGGTAAGTAGGTGGAAGACCCATTAATAGTAGGAAGCAGCGTAAAAAAAAAAAATAGAAACAAAGGTGCAAGTACTCACTGCATAGTGTATTGAAAAATTGCCGGTACTTACATGAAAGTGTCTTTTACATCAGCATTGTAAAGAGAATGAAACCTTAAAAGAAAAAAGTGCTGGTTCTGTGTACCATTGCATACCACCAGAAAAAAAAAGCTCTTGTAGAAAGATACAAGTTTAAGCATGGATAGGGTATATAAATAAAGACCTTGAATGAAATTCCATGTTTATTTAGTCAGTAATGCACATATTACGAGAACCGATAGCAGAGTGGGATCTGTTGACTGTAAAATCATAGTTTGAAGTGCTTGAACAACAGTTGTCAAGTGGTTGGTGATTGCTTCAAATCAGGGCTGTGGAGATTGAAACAAATTTAGATAGCTCACTTTTGATAGTTTTCATCTCAAACTCGAGCACTGGCATATATGTATAAGGAACCTTGCGGTGAAGGCAAAGTGTCCGTATAATGTTGGTGAAGTGTCTAAATGAAAGCATAGTAACTTTCCCTTTCTGACCTGGCAGTCATGATGATAATTAGAACCAGGACTTGCATCCCACCAGAAACAAAAACAGACCCTATTAGAGTGGTACATAATACAGGTTGTAACTACCTTGTTAGTGATACATAACACAGGTTGTAACTATCTTGTTAAAGCGATACATAATACAGATTGTAACTGTGATGTACCTTGTAATTGAAGTAAAAAAAAAAAATACACACAAGTTGTTGGTTTTAATTGAATAATTTAAAGACCAGCTGGTGTATTTATTAAAATGTCTTAGAAAGGGCAACTAGGAAAGATATCAAGGCAGAAATTAAATTAGTTTAAGTGCATTCATTAACAAGCAATTACAACACATTTGTTAGTTTTTTTTTCTTTTGTGATATGCTTTTAACTCTTTTGATTTTATCCAGTTGTTACACTAGCTCAATCTGCGTGTATGGTTACTTTAAAACTGTGTGTCTGCTAGTGTTACTATTTTAACTTGTTCAGATCCAGATGTTCATGAGTACATGAGTGGTTCACATCTTCGTGTGGATTCTGAATTCCCATTATGGGGAAGACCAGAGTAGACCCACTGCTACCCTAAGAAGCATGTCGTTAAGAGTCTACTAACTGGGGACTTCCTTCGAAGTGAGGGTGCATCTGCCTGAGAGTCGAGGAGCCAGTAGTCTGCATACAAATGAGCCAGATCTGTGAAATGGAAGTGCACACAACACACAAGTTGTTGAACAATATTAAAGTCCAGAAATGGAAGAAGAACCAGAACTTTCTGCTGGAGTTTATAGTCGGCTGCAAGAAAAAGTGGTTTACAGTTAGCTGAAATCTGTGGACCCCTCTTATTTTCTAAGGTCTGTCCCGGGCCCTGCACTTGTGAATAGTCATCCTGAAGTCATTACTAAAGAACTTATGATTTCTAAATGTTAGTCACACAAAGAATTACATTCTAAGGTTGAGGTATATTTTTGTAAATGATATCAAAGATTCTTTCAGTTTGTTCTGTCTGCTCTCATAGAGTCTGAGGACCACGAAATGGAGCAACAATAGATTCTTGTGATAAAATGAGTCTTTATTTTTCTGTGTTCGTCTTAAATGGACGGTTGATGCATTATGTTGTAGCCTACAGCTAGGCTTTGATATTTATGCCTTTCAGGTCAACACATCTGATGTCAGCAAATGTTTAATTTTGTTACATGATTGTTAAGGAACAATAAGCCTATTCCCCTCACCCCAAAAATGGTGCCCTGGGACCCACACAAGAAGAATGAGTTCAAGAAATATCTGACTGAAAGGACAGCGAGAACAATTGGGATCTGTTCCTAGAAGCCAGTGAACATGACTTCTGTGCGAGATTGTTCCTGTGACATTTTTGTTTAAGGGGGGGGGGGGTCTAGTCTTTGTTCCCTAAAGTGGAGCTCAGGAACATAAACAATCCAGTCGCCCATTGGCTGGCTGGTAGACAACTTTGTCGCATCAACACTGCAACAGTCCTTTTCATGGCTACTTGTTGGCAAGCAATATTGAACCATTCTAAAATAGTGTAAATAACCTAAGTCACAATTCTAACCAAAAGCTCCCCCTTTGAGGGAAGCTAGTTGAATGTGACATTGGTTTTTTTAGTGATACAAAAAAATGAATGATGATGATGGCCGCTCCCGAACTCCCACAATGTGAGACGCATGTAATAAGGAGATGTAGGATAGTGTAACGACAGGCTGTGATTTGTGTTTTCATAAATAAAAAATACATTTGTATACTTCATATAATGATGTGAATTCTGTAGCATTCACCTTGTGATATGCAATGAAATATGTCTGATTGTTTGTACCTTCACTATTTAAATCAACATGGGAAAATATGTTTAATTTTGTGCATAGAGCTAATGTATATTTTTGGAAACTGGAAAATGCTAAACTTTATTACATTTCAATTTCAGTACCCTCAACCAAGCCGACCAGCAAAGAAGATGGTAAATCAGAGAAGCATAGCAGAAAGAAGTCAGAACACAAAAGCAAGAGGAAGAGAGACTCAGATGATAAGGTGATCATTTTATGTTGTTTAATTTTTTTTAAATACAAAAATATTTGTTTATGTAACACTTGAATTTCATTCAGTATATTTGATGGAGAGTAATCATTCTGAATTTAGATCCTTATATCTTTGATTGGATTTTGATAATTCAAAATTTGATGTCTTATTCGTATTGTCAGTGCTATTGTGCTGGTAAATCAAATCTGTTCACAGCATTCCGTCAAAGTGTACTGTCAGTGACCTTTCAAACAGATGTTCTGCCTTGCCGTGATGCCAAACTTTCTAGCATTTTCTCTGTTCATATATCTCTCACTTGATTTTCCTTTAACTTTCCTGTTGTCATTAGATATTCCTGTTTTCATCTTCACATGACATGCCCAAAGAATATGGGTTGAGTTTTTCTGGTGCATATAATCAGTTCTCTTTATGAGCTAACTGCTCTCAGTGTGTTTTGGCTATGTTTTTCATCTGCCTGTATTGTTCTGACCAGTCTGTTGAAACCACATCTCTGCTTTCTGCACATAATTTTACACTAAATGGCTGACTGTTCATGATTTAATTCTGTACATCAGGATTGGCTCTGTATAGCTCTCAAGAACTATCTTTCTTACCTCAGGTGGCAACTGTAAGGATAGCTCTCTATTAACCCTACCAGACCTAAGGCCCTGAACCTAACTGTCCCCTATACCTGGGCATCAACACGAAAAAACCAACTTGATATACAGCAATATTAGTTACATGCAAACAAGTGTCTAGAATAACATTAAACTTGAAGACATTGCAGAAAATAGGCTTACTTTTTTATCTAGCGCCAATATTCCACCTTTGTGTGTCAATCCACTCAGGAGGATCAGGATTGTTTCACAAAGTGAGCACCAGATGTTACTGTTTGAGGGACACCCCCCCCCCCCCCTTCTCTTACTATGATCTATTTCTAGATTTATAATTTTCAAGATTCTCCTCATTTTTCAAGCTGAATGTGTCACTTCAACTGTGAACGTATTCTTCATGAAATAATGACTCTGCAGAGTCTGAATAAACCAAAGTACCGATCACCTGTTGGACTGCCTACACCTACTTTACTTTCCTGTGCTTGGTTCATCAACCGCTCGTTTTATTGTGAATTTTCAGAATTTTTTCACGTAAAACAACAAATTTGATCCAAACACATGCAGGCAGGCATTAGGAAGACTATCCATGAGATCTGATTACGATTGGCTAGTTAGTTTTGGTTTGTGACGCATCTTTTTCACTCACTATGCAAATAGCCGAAAATTAGGGCCAGCGGTATAGCGTCAGGTTAAGAAATTCCCGGAAAATTGGGTCAGCGTTCTGATAGGGTTAAATATTGTTTTTCCTTCATTGTTATTAGCTAAATGTTCTTTAAAGTATATAATTATGTATTTCAATTGGTGTATTTATTTTTTTTTTAACTTGAGTCAGATTGTCTAAGCAGATAAAAAAAAAATATTGAATGATTCTTGTGTGATCTGGGGCTAAGAGTTTTTGCCTACACTATGTGGGTTCCGGCACCCAGTTGGGGGGGGGGGGGGTGGTAAACCCAAATCCACTGCCAGTTAACAAGTATGTTGTAAAAATCACTAACTAAGATTTTGTTGGAATAGGATGTGTTGGACTAAAAGGCACAGATATTTCTGTAAATCACTATACTGTGTGATAACCACCCCTTGGGCAAACACAGAAGAAGAATCCCTGTGTGGTCTCGGGATAATCCAAATCAGCTTCTTTTGTTTTCATTCTTGTGTGATTGGCAGGTAATAGAAGTATTACAAACTGAATGTGTTGTGTCACTGGTTTCAGACGAGACGAAAAAAATATGCTGATGCTGACAAGGCAGATTCAGAAAACAGTCCAGCTCCAGCTTGGGGTTCAGGCTATCAAGGGCCTAAACCCAAATCGTCTCCCTTCCACAGTAAACAGTCACAATATGGTCGAGGAGGTCGAGGCTACCATAGTCCACCCGGCTTGTATGATAGTCCCTCATATTCTGAAGAATCCGGCGATGAGTGAGTTTAAACTAAATGTGCCTTATAGAAGCTTCTTCTTTAGCAGTCAGTATTTGCTGTGTGTCTCTGCCTGCATAGGTCACAAATAGAGAGGTGTACTTGGGGTCGTCACTGGTGCCCCATAGTTCTTCTTATAGGGCTACTGCTGAGGGCCTGGTTCCCTCTCTGTGACTGGCAGAATCTTTGGAGATGTGCTCTTGAGATTGTTTCATTATAGAAGTATTGAGTTATGGGATAAAGAGGCAGGCAGATGTAAAATTTTGGAGAAGCAGGATTTTGCACTGATTGTTATACACATTTATGCATTCATAAACATACGGTAACTTTATATAGTGAATCTGTTTGCAGTGTTTTGTGTGTGTGTGCTTCGTGTGTGTGTGCTTTGTGTAATTTAAAGATAAGTAAAATCATAGTTTAAAAATGTGTAATGGCTGAATAGGCTACTTTGAGGAAGACATACGTGTGAGCGTGCTAATGTGTGTTCCTTTCCTCCTTCCTACTCCCTGAGATTTCTATTTTCTTTGTGTGTCTTTCCCAGTGGAGCATATATACCTTCAGGCATCATATCCCAAGACTTCCTATCCTTTGCCATGTCTTTTCCATATAATTCCACCTTGTTCATAATTCTCTTCTCCATGTATTTTTTATGTTAACCTGTTTTTTTGTTTTTGAGTTCTGTGTTCCAGAGAAATCTGTGTTTAGTTAGTATTTTTATTTTTAACACATCCTTTACCACGGTTTATTGGGATGTGAGTGTGTTTGTGATTATGTATGTATTTATACAAACATATGACCATTTGTTACCATTTTACAGATCTCTGCCAAAGACCCTGATGACGGAGGGGTATATTGATGCCTCTGTTGCTGCTGATGAGAAAGAGGTTTGAACATAATTTTTAGAGTAATTATTTTATACAGCGTGTGGAGGTTCATGTTGAGGTGTACTAAGGAATTCTGAGATTTGAGCTAAAGGACACTGGCACACATGAACTAAGTTTAAACAAATAAAAAATAAAACACCAGATATCCAAGTTGTATAGAGATTCAGTACATAACACCAAAGCCTGTAATAAAGTTTGTCTAAAAAGTAATTTGTATAACAGCAAGCAGTGTAACTTAAAGCAAACACTAGCTCAACATCTGCCTCTGAAATACTGATTGCTTTAGAATATTGAGCAGTTTAACTTTAGTTGCACCCATGCCTTACCAGCACCTGTAAGGGAAGCACACAGTGATAACTGTATCCTTACATGCAAGCCTTTGAGGTAGCTCACGAGGCTGGCCTGATACTTGCTACCTTACTCAACAGAAGACTAGTTTCAAAATCCAGCCAATCACTAATGCACGTGCATCAGTTTTGGCATGAGTTGGCTGAGGGTTTAACTCTACTGGGAAAGGGAAGTGAGGGGAAGAATTATAGTTATAACAAATGAATAGAACAAAAGGAAAGAAGCTAGTGACATGGTGTGATGATGATTACAGCTGATGTTAACTGCCTTTCAATCCCTGAGTGTTGTTAATTCACACTTTCTGACTAGATTTTTACGTACTTTGGAATGGTCATCTTTGAGTCCCAAGAAGTTCAGATAATGTGACACTGGACAGAAGAAGTTACAGAAAAAACCATGATTAAGTGAATTGCCATAATTTATTTAATATGCATCCCCTCTGGCAAATCATATTGATTGATGACACACAGTGACTCAAGATAGAGCTCTGTTCAGATGTAAATCAAACAGGAGCATACCTCAGAAACCTTGTTTAACCATATCATCTTCTTTTTTCTTTCTTTGCGTTCACTGGCTGTGAATTCTGGCGGAAAGTCCTAGTTGTTCGTCCATCTAGACTTTGGCTTTGTACTAGAACCTGAGTTTTGCATGTACATTCATTTTAATAGCTTTTTTGTGTGCAGCTAGTTGTTCCATACCACTTGGGCAGATTTACTCCTAGTTCTAAGGAAGCCCCCAATTAGCAACTCCTACGACATGCTTCTTGTTAAGACAGTGGGTCTATTTTTTGTTTTCCCTGTTAAGGGGCCCTTACGGGGAGTTTAACCAAGTAAAACAATTATATTAAGATAACCCAATGATTACAGAGCAATTACGCTGTTCATTGTAGATGAGTGTATTGCACAATACATAACAGAAGAATGGGACAGACACGGTTTGGAAATGTGTGCCATGTATTGAGTAATCAATTAATGTATAGTGAGGGTCTTGGTACTGAATGATTGTATCCAAAAATCATCTAACCATTTAGATTTGTTCATTTTGATTGGTTCTCTTCCATAAAACCTGAACAGACTCCACTTTACATGTTATGTCAGTGGTGGTAACTCCATTAGATCTTTACAAGTAGAACCATGTTAATGGGGAAATAACTGCAAAATGTTTATTATTTATCACTTTAAACAAAAATAAAGATCTCTTTGCACACCATTGGCACATTGAGAATGTTATGATGGACTCCTTTTTTTTTTAATGGACCAATCAGCATTTGATAAGTAATGTGACCTGCATTTCCTAGGACCATGTTTAGACAATGTCGACCTGCAAGTTCAGGTAGTTATAAAAGATCTGCCTTGAAGTGGGCTCAGGCTAAGATCTTTGGGCTATTGCTCAAGTATATAGCCACTGCATAACCACAGCTCCGATTTGTTACTATATTCATTATTTAATCTGTTGTCAAATTATGAAATAAGGTAAAGAAGAAGAAGATGTAAGCAGTCTCTGGTTTCTACATGTCTAACTGCATACTGGTATGGGTGTTAATAAAGGGAACATTTTTAAATTATAACTCAAAAAAAAAAAGGAAGAAAAAAAAAGAAGTTTTGTTACAGATGCCCAGGGGAAATGGGAATAAGAAATCTTGAATATGGCTTAATAACTCACTGGGTGTAAGACTCCCGCAGTCCCAGAAGGGGGTATGAAATGAAAAAAGGACCACAGGTATGGCCTCCCATGCTTATAGAGTGTAAATGAAGAGGATATTTTTAGGAGGTATTATTTGACATCTGTCTGTACTCTGTGAATTCTGTTTGCTGTCCATAGGGAATTTTCAATCCCAAGTTAAGCTTGGGTAAGAGGAAAAAACCTCCATTGGAGAGGAATGACCGTAAAAGGGGACGCAACTTTGAAGGAAAGTCAGAAGGTCCGCCAAGAAAAAAGCCACTCAGTCAGCAAGCAATGTCCGAGAGACCTGTCTGCAAATTCTACATGGAAGGAAAATGTGCCAAGGTAGGCGATCTACAGCTTCTTCCTACATTTTATTTTTATTATTCCACATTAACCAGTAAATTATGATAATACTTTTTACTGCGATTCTAAGTATTATTGTGACTGTAACAGTGCTGTTACAGTGTAATAGTGTATGTGAAAATACTAATGCATGTTTGAGTTGAAGGTTGTATTTTGACAAGAGCACAGGGAAATCTTGGCTTTACAGGTTCTCAGTGGGTGAACAGCTACTTTCTTTACTGTCTGGTAATTCCAGAGTAGTTTCTGAGAGCCATATTACCAAAGTGAATCGCACCAAAGTGTCTTTGGGGCTAGAGAAACAAAAATGGCTGTGTCACACGTTAGAATTCAGCAGTCTCCGTGTGGGTTCATTTAGGGGGAAAAGTGGTTGGGTGGGGGGGGGGGGGGGGTTTTATGGGGGGATGTTTCTTTAGTATAGGTGTGGTAAATGGCAGCTAATACAAAGGATGTGATGAAATTGGTTGAGTTTGGCTGAAAGATGCAGATATCAAACTTGGCTGTAAACCACACAATGGTATTATGAAACGCGTTCACATCGCTTAAGCCACAGACTCTCTTTTGCCTGTACACGCCATAAACTAGTGTTAAAATCTCTAATTGTCTCTTGAAAGAATAGATTGACAGCCTAATCATATGAGCATTCTTATTGTTTTTTTTAATGTTATTGTGACATTTTTGATGAAATTGAAGTAGAACTCATTCCCTCTGTACTGGTATGTTTTACAGGGTGTTGGATGCCAGTTCAATCATGATGTGGAGAAACCTAGGAAGATGGAAGTCTGCAAATATCACTTGACAGTCAAAGGCTGCATTAAGCAGAGATGCTTCTACATGCATGATATCCTTTCCTAACTGGTTTATAATTTTAGATATGTCAAGTTTGATGTGAGTATGTGCAAAAACTATATGAAGGTTTCAGTGTGATATTTTTGTTTAACTACATGTTTTGTCATTGACTATGAAATTAGGTGTTTTGTTAACTTAGCCATAAAGAGCAAAGTGACATCATTATATTAATAATATGACCTGACAATGGCGTCACAGTTTAAAAAAACAATTGAATTATTTAATTCCTAATAATATCTGACACTTTTTTCGTGATACGTATAGCCACACCAACCATGTGTACACATTGTGCATTTAAAGCCATTACCAGAGCTGCTATGTAGGCATAGTGGCCACTGCCAAAAGACTTTGTCATAAAAAAATTCAGCAATTGCCTTAAAAATGACTTTCTCAGGCTGGAAGGGTTAGACCCACACAACACCCAGTAAATGCTAGAGTTATTTTATCACATCCTGATCAGGAAATGCTACGGATTTTTTTTCTTCCAGCTACATGTTTCATAATATCAAATAGCACTAGTTTTATTCACAGCTCTTGTACGCAGTGTTTTAGAGGTGCACAAATTTTGTTTCCTGTATTTGTAAAACAAAAAACAAATTGGCATTGAGTGCAGAATTGATTCTTAACCATTGGCACAAGATTTCCCATGTAAATACTACCACACTGGAGCTAAATGCTACTCTGGGGACAGATGCAAGTTTTCGCATGATCCACTGACTGAGGAAACTAAAAGGGCATTGGAGATGAGAGTTGCGGCTGAAGATGTAAGTACTTTTTTGTTTGTTTTGTAGGAAGCTTTGCTACACTTGAATTTTACCATTTATGTTAATAGTTTACTGGATAGATTTGAGATCCAATACGCAAATAAGACATGAGACCAGGCAAGAAAATGTATCAAATTTTATAAGAAGGCGCAGCTGGAATTATATCGGCCATGCACTCAGAATGGATCATGAGGTATGTGTATATTTTTTACACATGCAAATACACATGCTTGTCTTCTTTCTTCTTTGCGTTCACCAGCTGTGAACTCTGATGGAAAGTTCTGGTTGTTTGTCCACTTTTGGACTGCAATCCTGTTCCAGAACCTGAGTGTTGCCTGTGCATTCATTTGACAGATCTGACACATTTGTGTGCAGACTGTTGGTTCCTTGCGTCTCAGGCATATGCACTCCGACTTCGAAGGTAGCTTCCAATCAGTCGACTCTTACGGCATGCTTTTGGGTAGGCAGTGGGTCTATTCTTGTTTCCCTATAATAGGGCCCTGGAACCCGCATGGGGAACGCATGCTTGTGTATCATACATGCATGTGGGTATGGGTGTTTGTGCTATTAATTGATAGTTGTTTCCATTGTCCACTAGCAGATTCATTAAAAAGTTAGATTCACGTAAATCTCCCCAAAGTAGGTTACTTTTCATTCACAAGTTTGTTGGGCTGGTCGACTTTCCTGAAGGTTATGGGTGTGTCCCGCTCTGTTGTTTGCTTTCTGCATTATCTTGCATTTATGTTTTTATTCAGAGAAAGAGAATGCCTGTGACACAGGTTGCAGCACTCTCTAGAGAGGTTCTGTTAGGGTCAGTTTTTCCATGTTTTTGGAGTGTTAAAAGTGCTGGTGTGCTGAAATTTACAACACGCGATATCAACAGCATTGCGGAACAGCCCTCTGTCCTTGTGCGAAGGCCACGGGGCTCAGGAACTACCAATCAGAAGTGAGCTAGCGTGTATATGGGCAGGGTCTAAGAAGACTTATGTTACATGTTCCAAATGTTCATTCAGTTTCTGTTGACATCATTGAAATGGTTTCGTATTTGACAACCACATAAAAACAATTAACTTATTTCTGTGTTTACCAAATCCTTTTTGTTCATAAATACTCCAAAAAAATGTAAGTGCCATCAATAAATAATTATCACTGCTTTAATATTAATGTGTATTGTTAATAACAACTGAGAAATATTGGTTAAGCAATGCTAAATGAAAACGTGATTGATTTTATCTAATAAATGCTGAACTTAATGGCATGAATAATATAAAGAGTTTTTGTGTAGATCAGTATTCTTCCACTGAGGCTCCACAGAAATGTCCTGATGGTACTGCCAAACATTTCTACCTAATCATGTTTTTTTTTTTTCACTTTGTGAAAATACTTTCTGAGCCATGTTAGTAACAAAAATTAAACTCAGAAATCAAATGGATGTTATTGCAGTGTTTCTTCTATCAGAAACATCCCTCCAGCCAGGTGTATACGATTTTCTTACCTCTAAGCAGCAACAAATGAGGATTAGCTGAAAATTTAAATCTTTTTCATCTTTTTTAAAAAAAAATGGTTGAAGAATGCTGGTGTAGATCCTTGATGTGTGTGTCTAGTGGTGATGTGCAGCTTATTGTCGTCATCATTTCATTTCAGATTATAGACGTTGAAGAAGAGTATGACTATGATTACAGACCAAGGGAGTCAAACAGTAAGCCTAGTCTATTAGGTGAATTTGCTGTTGCTTTAATGTGCGGTTCTTGTTGCAGTAATACCATTTTTGTAAATTTGTTAATGTGTTATCTTTTCATATAAAACCAGTACCAGATTATTATTATATTTTTTAAACAGTTCTTGATCCAACCAAAAATAAGTATCAGAAAATATCCTGGGAAGTAAAAGCAGTTGACGTGGGTTTGATCACATTCGTTTAATGTTGATTGTTCTATTTTAAAAAAAAATATACATCTGCCAGAGAGGCAAGAAACCACCAGTCTGCACACACAAATACACCAGGTCTGTAAATTGTATGGACTCGGTCCTCAAGCCTGGGAACAAGGCTAAAAGTTCACAAGTTCATAACAACCATGACTTTCTGCTGGAGTTTACATCTGGTGAATGCAGGAGTTTCTGCTGGAGTTTGCATCTGGTGAATGCAGGAGTTTCTGCTGGAGTTTGCATCTGGTGAATGCAGGAGTTTCTGCTGGAGTTTGCATCTGGTGAATGCAGGAGTTTCTGCTGGAGTTTACATCTGGTGAATGCAGGAATTTCTGCTGGAGTTTACAACTGATGAACATGAAGATAACACTAAACAGTTTATCTTGGTTTTGTACAACCAGCCAAGCAGTGATTGATTCAGCCAAAGTGCTTGAGGAAAGAAAAATTAAAAACAGCAAAATTGTTTTCCTCTGTGACTGCATGTCAGTCCTACAGGCGACTCAGAGAGATCCACAAGACAGCATGGAGAAAGAACTGACCCGCCATGTAAACAGACTCGCAGAAAACAAACAAATTGTTCTCAAGTGGATCCCGACTTACTGCGGCATACCAGGAAATGTGTTAGCAGACAGACTTACAAAAAATGGAACAAAGGAGAAACAGCACGCCCATTCATTGTCATTACCAGAAATCAGAGCAAAGGAAAATACAGGGTATTGTGGAGAGAACAAACTAACAGTAAACATCCACAAGACCCCATCAGCAGACTCAGCAGAACAATTTTCCGTCTATGAACAGGACACTGCAGACTTGACTATCACATGCATAAAATAAAGATTGTACAGTCCCTACAGTGTGCCTGTCAAACAGGACCACATACACCTTAGCACATTCTGCAGACCTGCCCACTCTACATACAACTTCAAAACCTGGCCTCAAGAGCAAAGTGTGCAGAGCAAATTATGGGGAACCATGAAGGACCTGCTGCTACATGCGAGTTTATAGAGGCAACCCATGATGGTCTGATCTGAGCATACAAAACCAAATGCAAAGAAGAAGAAGAGTACAAATAGCTATATAAATGTTCACAGAGAATTTTATACATAAGTAAATAAACAATGACACTCCAATCTTCTCTTTAGAAATAATTTAAAAATAGTTTGTTAAACATAGACAGCTTGCTACTTATCTGTGGTTCTTAAAATTATACATAAAATAGGTAAACATAGTCATTTTACAGAAAATGGAAATTGTAAAATTGTTTTCATTGTTCTTCTAGGTTCTCCACCACGATTTCGCCAGGATGTCAAGAAAATTCCATCTTTATTTGAGATAGAAGTGCACCCGCCTGGCCAGTCACCTAAACCATCGCCCCAAGCCCCAAGGTAAGTTTTAAAGGTGTTCATGTGAAAAACATAACAGCAAAATTGTTTTCCTTTGTGACTGCATGAAAGTTCTGTTTTCCTTTGTGACTGCATGAAAGTTGTTTTCCTTTGTGACTGCATAAAAGTTCTGTTTTCCTTTGTGACTGCATAAAAGTTCTGTTTTCCTTTGTGACTGCATAAAAGTTCTGTTTTCCTTTGTGACTGCATAAAAGTTCTGTTTTCCTTTGTGACTGCATAAAAGTTCTGTTTTCCTTTGTGACTGCATAAAAGTTCTGTTTTCCTTTGTGACTGCATAAAAGTTCTCTAAGCAACTCAGAGGGATCCGTGATACAACATGGAGAGAGAACTGACCTGCCAGCCAAACAGACTCTCAGAAAAAATTAAATTGTTCTCAAGTGGATCCCGGCTCACTACAGAAAGCAACATAAAACAATTTTACGTCTACAAACAGGACACTGCAGGCTCAACTATCGCATGCATAAAGTAAAGACTGTACAGTCCCCACAGTGTGCCTGTCAGACAGGACCACAAACACGTTAGCACATTCTGCAGACCTGCCCACTCTACCTACAACTTTAAAAAGAAAAGGATGTGCGAGTTCATAGAGGCAACCCACCTAATGATCTGGTCTGAGCATACGAAACCAAACGCAAAGAAGAAGAAGAAGTTTATATGAGTCCTTTCTAGAAAGCTGCTGTCATCATGGCCAACTGGAAAGAAGACTCTTTATTCTTCACTAATCCTTGTCTCATGAATTTTCACTTCCAAAGGTGTCTCTGATGTTCTGTGCCCACCATAATGCTGGTCAGCCGATCTCTTTTTTCCAGGAATCATTTCTCATTCTTTTTTGTTTTTTCCTTCTGAACTACTGTGGTGGTTAGTAGTGCCAAAGTATTTCAGTCGTCCCGAGACACTCTTTCTTTTCTTTATTCTTCATTTGGATCTTATAGAATATCAGTGTTTCCCCCCCCCCCTACCTAACCCATGGTATACACAGTATGTTTCTAAAGTAATCTCAGAATGGTATACAACTCATGTCTGTATGTTGCCATAGAAAAGATGTCTGTTCTCAGAATATTTACTTTAATTTGCTGATGTCAAAGCTTACTAATGCTGTTTAATATCTGCATTTCTATCGGCCTCTTACTTATTTTAAATATTCACTATTATTAATTATGGATCCAAGATGTTCAAAGTTTGTGACATTTTCAATAAGAAAAGTCATGTCTACATGTGAATTATTTTCAAAACCACCACATATCAGTTTAAAAAAAAATAGTTTTCTTCTCCTTCTTGGTGTTCACAGGCTGTAAATTCTGGCAGAAAGTTTTGGTTGTTCTTCCACCTCTGGATTGTTTTTCCAGAACCTAAGTGATGCAAGCACATTCATTTTAAAGATCTTACTTATTGATTTGCATATTGTTTGTTTATTTGCCTCTCAGGCAGATGCACTCGGACTTCAAAGGAAGCCCTCAATTAGTTGACATTACAACATGTTTTTTGATGGGTCTGTATAGTTTTAACTGTTTTAGGATTTTGACTTTCTATGAAATAAAAATCTGTCCAGCTATGAGTGAGTGCTTGTGACTTTGCTAACATTGCCTCTTTGATTCCTGTTTTCAGCAGACCCTCTGGATTCTACAGTGAAACAAATGCTTCTCCGAAACCAGGAGCGGCACCAAATACTAATGCCCCTACGAACAACCCAAATATTGGAATGATGAATAATTCAGCACCAACAAGTCAACCAGGGCTGTCAAACCAGGGCAACATGGGGGGTCCAGGATTGCTTCAGACTCCACTGAGACCTGCCAACCTAATAGGAGGTCCCATGGCCAACAATAGGCCTGGTCTGATCACTGGCATGAACCCTCAGCAGCAGAGACCTGGTGGAGTTACACCCGTTCAGTTCTTGGGTCCAAGACAGATGAACAACAACAACAACCAACAGGGGGGAAATTTGCCTCCTGTGCTGAACATGCTAGGAGCTATTATTAGAGAAGCTGCCATGCACAAAGGGCCAGGAGGTCCCAGTAGTAACATGAACATGGGGCCTAACACTGGTATGGCTCCTATGCTCCAGAATATGCAGAACGTGCAACAAGGTTTAAATATGTTGAACTCCAACAACCTGCCACAAGGAAATATGAACATAGGTCCCAATAACATGGGTCCCAATAACAAGGGTCCCAATAACATTGGTCATAATAACATGGGTCAAAATAGTATTGGTCAAAATAACATTGGTCCTAACCACATAGGTCCCAATAACATTGGACCTAATAACATGGCTCAAAATAACATTGGTCCTAATAACATGGGTCAAAATAGCATTGGTCCTAATAGCATGGGTCAAAATAGCATTGGTCCTAATAACATGGCTCAAAATAACATTGGTCCTAATAACATGGCTCAAAATAACATTGGTCCTAATAACATGGGTCAAAATAGCATTGGTCCTAATAACATGGGTCAAAATAGCATTGGTCCTAATAACATGGGTCAAAATAACATTGGTCCTAATAACATGGGTCAAAATAGCATTGGTCCTAATAACATGGGTCAAAATAACATGGGTCCCAATAATATGGTTCAAAATAACATGGGTCATTTAATGATGCCAAACAAGGGCAGCATGCAACCTGGCAACTCAAATAGCACAGGGCCTTTACAGAATATGATGAATTCTAACAGTAACCTAGGGAATGTGGGAGCAAATAACATCACTGGAAATGTAAACACAAACAGCAACTTAGGTCCAAATGAAAACTCTCACTCTGCCTCAGTGAATAATGTCATAAGTGGCAGAAGTATCGGCATTGGACAAGAGGTTGGAATTATGGATGTCGATTACAGAATAAAGCCAGACTTTATGGAAATAGAAGAAGCGAACAAAGAACTCAGTGAGCTAGACAAGATTCGACAGCAAATACAAGCACAGATTGACAAAGAAGATGAGGAAGGCCAGGGAGAAAATGATGGCAAGGTTGAAAATCAGGATGACCTGGGTAAAACTGATGAGGAGCAGCCTGTGTCCATAATATCTGACAGTTTGCAGGAGAAAGATGGTAAGTAGCAAGTTAAACAGCTTCCTTTTTTGTCACATTTGTTCTGACTATTCTGTACCATTTTGTTTTATGTAGTACACAGTAATTCTTTCAGATATCTATAGTGACCAAAATAACCCCTACGTGGGTTCCCCAGTTTGGATATATAAAAATTAGACGCATTGTGCCTGTAACAAATATGTTGTGCAGGGCCACTGATTAGGGGTTACTGAAATCAGATATCTTGGGCCGAAAGCTGAAGACATTACAGCCCAGCTGTAAACCTCAGCACCATATGTCAGCCGCTTTTTTAAGGCTGAATGCAGAAGAAGAAGAAGAGATTATGATAGAAGTTAAGTTTTCCTCTGTTGAGCTCTACATGTCAATATTTCTTTTCTGTTACATATTTCTGCTTTTATGTTGACCTTGTCTGTTTATAAGCACCATTCTCTTGTCTATTGAGTTTTTAGCCACCATTGTATTGTATATAGTACTTCATTGATAACGGCTTTGGTCCAAACATTTGGTTGTCTTTCTGGGCATTTCTTCCATTCCCATTGTTGGGCGTTCTAGTCAGAGTTTATGTTGTATTGAGATGTTTTTTTTTTTTAAAAAGCCCTTGTGAAAATAATATTTGTTTTGAGAATAAATATTAATTTTTGTTGTTGAAGAAACGGTAAAGCTAGTCATACAGTAGTTAATGTCATGGGAGTATTAAGTGTTAGGCCTTTACATATTCTAGTCTGATCAGCTCAATTCATGGTTTCCTTTCTTTGCCAGACAATTCTGAAAATGGTCTGGTACTCATTTTTTATAAGACTGGGATCAACTCCATGAGTTGGTTAGAAAAATATAATCCCCCATTTGCTGAGGATTAAACATGGACTACTCTCTTGATGGGCAGGCATACTAATCACTACTATGTTCAGCGGCCAAAAGCACATATAACCAGTTCTTATTTGTTATTACTTGATCACCCTACAATGGTGTGAACAATATTTTGTTCCTAATTGTATGTTGAATATCAGAAGAAACTTGTTAATTCAGTAGTTTATTTTCACCTGGACTTGAATGATGATTTGATCACACACTCCACAGTGACTTTCTGTCTTTTGTACGTGAGCTAAACGTGCAGTAGAGTACCTGCCTAAGACACGTGACGCTGCCAGAGGTTACCACAACTAGCACAGGTCTTTTCTTTGTTTTTAGTGCTGGCTGGTGGCTGTAGTTAAGAAGTGTGAGCAGTAACCCTAACAACCTATAAATTTATATGTACGAGTGATGAGCCAAAGAGCTATGCCAGTGATTGCTTAGCTGCTGCTAAGGTTTTTGATATCAGACAGGTCTCACTGTAGGAGTCAGACAAAGAGGATCCTGTTTGGGTTCTCAGCCCCATTGTGGAGAAAACAAGAATAGACCCACTGCCTCCCCAAAACATATGTGCTACTCTGTGTTTAGAAAACTTGAATGTCTGTATATCCCATTTTTTTTCTCCAGATGTGAAAGATGACAAAGCCTCAGAGAAAACGGAGATTGCAGATGTTGAACAGATAGAATTTCCTGCCGATCTGCCAAAGACCCAGAGGGAACTTTTTAAGAGAATACAGCTGCAGCAAATAATTAGAGAAAAAGAGCGGAAAAAGCAGGAGGCATTAAAAGTTACAGAAGAATCAGAGACCAAAGGTATGCTGATATTTTCTTTCTTTTCCTGTTTAGATATGTCAGTTTGTTATCATACATATAGATATAGTTTATTATCCTCTCCTCCACTTACAATCACGTAAACCTGACAGTTTTCCGTAGTTGTAAAATAGTATGTTGTATTTAAAGGTTTTCAGTATAAGCTTGCATGTAGTTTAAAAAAAAAAATTGTGAATTAATAATTGCCATTTATCTGACTGATCCTTGCTTTAATGGATTTTCAGCTGTGTACAGTCCAACACAGGGTATGCCAGAACGTTATTTATTTGTTCTCTTAGTTTTTACGCATTGTTTTTCAAGTTTTTTTTAAATTCCAGCTCTGGATTCGGTGCCTGTGATATTGTTAAAAACAAGATCTTTAAATGCTATCAGTTTATGTTCACATTTGTTCTCTTTGGTGTGGTTTTGACATCTTTTGAGTTTTGGCTTAGTTATCTTGTTCTTTTTTCTTTTCAGTGATTTAACACAATTATCAACATTACATATTAACATTAAAACTATTATAATTATTTGTTGATGCTGTTTTCAGATGTAAAAAAACAAAAAGTATCGTTAACAAAATAGATTTGATAAACATAAAAATTTAACTGAGGTCAGCAGTAACTGAAAGAACAATTAATTTCAGTTTGAAGAACTTAAAATTGACAACATGAACTCGCATGCCCACATACATGCTCACATGTGTATGTGTGCATATGTGTGCGCATGCTAAACTAAAGACACACCTCCATCTGTTTATGGGACTTATACTTGTACCATATACTTGTGCTACTAACTTGTGTCTCACAAGGACATTTTGTGGTTGACTTCTGTGGTCAGCTTGTTCCAACACTGTTTCTGAGTAAACTGTGTGAAGTCTCCTGAGACTTCCCTGGTACAAATTACACAGGTACCACTGATTCAAACTTATCGCCAATAGGTGAAGTTGACAGGCATGTTGGAGGTTGTGTTGCAGACTCACACCCTCAAATATTGATGTATCTAGGGTGACCATAAATATCATTGTCTGGACGGTGTCGTGTTTTTTATTTAGACCCAGACCATCTTATTGATACTCAACGTCGACTGGAGCAATGGATTTGTGTGTGTTTTAGTTGAGTGCTAGGATGTGTCGAGGTGGACAGGTTGCAACTAGGGTGATCAAATTGTCGGGACAGAATCATTGTTTAGATAGACCCAGACCATCTGTCAATAAGGTGGCAATATGATCAGCCTAGTTGTAACTTGTTTATCTCGACATCCTGGCACATCATTCTAACCCATCCTTGCTCTGTCCTCTGATTCCGCAGCCATCTCAGTATCTCCATGCCGAACATACCCAACAAGAGTTGACTGGCATATCTTCATTCTTTGCCCTGCAACTGGTTTCTGTGTGCATGTTGTCCTTTAATACCCATTTTAAACAGGCGATTCATCGTCTGTGACTTCTTTGTCTCAGTGTCTGTGGAACACAGCGCATTCTGTATCTCTGGCCCGTTTATACCTCTTCCTCCACCAACCACTGCAGATGGCTAATCTCTTGGCTCTTTCATTTCTCTTCACCCCAGCATTTTCCAGTGCTGAACCTCAACAAGGTTCTGAAGTTTGAATTTATGGATGAGAAACATCAGATGCTGTTCTAGTACTATCCTTAATTGTATGAATACCTTGTACAGTTTGAAAAGATTAGTTACTGAAGAACCAGACATGACAGTTAATTCCACCCAAGGAAAACTTTATGTTTAACTTATATATTTACATTCCAGCTGAAGATGATGACTGGTACTCAAGTGATGATGATGGAGATGAAGAGGAAAAACCAAATTTGACTGACATCTTGAAGAAGTTAAATGAAGTATGCATTGTCTTTTGTCTTCTGCAGTAAATGTTTCTTGTTTCTTTACAGTTCATTCTGGGCTTTGACATAGCAGTTTCCCCACTGAATGCTTTCTTTTCTGGAAACTTCAATCTTTTTGCTCAAATTGTGCTAGCCATGTACTGCTTGCATGTCTGATTTTATTCTAATTAATTTCCCTAATCATCGTTTCACTGTGTGTGTTTGGGGGTGGAAAGGGGGAGGGGTTGCGTGTTGTTTAATATCAGAAAAAAATTGGGGCATTCTTTTCTTCCTGCATTTTATGTAATTAAAATTTGAGTAGTGCTTTACCATAACTTATGTGTGTTTGATATTGCCCTACCAGTTTTATTCCCCTACTCCATGCTGCATTCTGAAAAAAGTCAGTCAGATATTTTTAAGTCGTGTTTTTTATTTTTTAAATTTTAATTATCAGTATTAAATGTATTACTGAAATATCGGTTGAATTAATATGCAAGTAGTTATCATCAAAACATGTTAGCATTCCTTATGTGGTAGGGCAACAGGGTCAACCAAGTTAGTATTTTGTGTAGGTATTACGGCTGGTTTAATTATAACTTATTTAGGAGGTTGAATGGAGTGTCCTCGATTTATCCTGATGGGTTGAAGATTCTTTGAGTCCGAGGAGTGTCACCCCTGCAGGTGTCAGCCTGGAGGGGAAGAACAGTCAGTCGCTATCAGAAGGTTTAAACGATTGTAGCCGTAATGTTCCTGGTGTTTTAGTTGAGTTTGTTTTAATTTATTTGGTTTATCTGCAGCCATTGCCAGCGCCAGCGGTGGTGACTTCAGCTTCTCTACCAGACAGCTTCAACACCAGTTCTTCAGGCTCTTCCACTACATCCACATTTAATATCATACAAATGATTAATGCCATAAAAAATCAGAAACCTGTTGCAATTAGCGGAGGAGCATCACCTTCTGGCAATTACAGGTGAGGAAGGATGTTCTTTCACAAATTTTATGCCAGGCAACTGAACTTATTCAGTATCAGTTAACTCAGTTCCAAGGAATCAAGAGGTGAGGTAAAGATACTGGTATTGGATAGGACACACACTGAGAAAAATGAGATAGCAGTGCAACTAAAATGTTCTTACACTGGATATAAAGGGTGGCACTGTGGTGTAGTGGCTAGATACTCACTTTTTGCTTGGAAGGTTGGGGATTCGGGTCATGATGGAGCTGGACTATTTTCAGAAATGACATTGGCTCCAAGGTCGACCCAGCCCTAAATAGATACCAGGTACAGTCCTGGGAAGTAAAGGTGACTGGCATGATGTTTACTACAACCCACCAAGTGCTTATTGGCCTGTAAAATATAGATCTGTTTTATATGCCCAATGCTCCTTCAGGTGTGGATAAGGGTTCTTTACTTACTTTACTTGAAATAAATATATGCACACATTGGATTAATGGAATAAGTAAAAACACATGGAGAAAATAATTAGAAGTTAGGGTTAAAAAATGGAAAGGACATAAGTTGAGCTACCTACAGTGAACTTAGCATGAGTTGATTGAGGGTCTGTATTTCACTGAGGGAAGGTCAGAAGAAGGTAGTAAACCTTACCACCCATTTACTAGTTACTCCTTACATATGTTTTTTTGAAACATGTTCCACGTGTGGTTACAGTATTAACTTATTTTGTCTTAAGTTGTTACTCTAACTACTTCTACTTATCATTATTTTAAACCCTCTGGAATTCAACAGTTACTTAGCAGCCACGTTAGCACAGTCGACAGGAGACTCGCTTTCAAATCCAGCTGCGACTGGCTGCAGTGCATAGTCGGTGTTCGAAACTGGGCGTTCCCGGGGTTCACCCAGCCTCTAGGAAATGGGTATAAGAGTTAGCACTCTGGGGTAAATGGAGGAAAGTTGCTGTAGCTACGGAGTTTTGTGCGGACTGACACAGGCGGACAGTTTCTTATCAGGTCCACGTACTGATGGCAGAGCACTTATGGTTTATAACCATGTGCAATGACGCTGGTTCACATCTCCCGACTTTACCCTTTAAAAAAATAAATACTTAGGAAAGAATGAGTTAAAGTGATGCTTGTCTGGGGCTGAAACAGAACATTTACAGTGCCCTCAACAGCTACTCCATGCAGCAGTTCTGTTCTTAATTTCTTCTCTAACAGGCAAATGTTACATTAAGTTATCTTTTCCTAGTTATATCTGGATCTGCTTCTGTCCTGTACCTTTGTTACTTTAAGCCTGTCAGCCATATTGGATAGTTTGACTTTATTTTTACAAACATTTTAATGGCTAGTTGTTTGTTTTTCAACTTTTGATATTTCACAAATACCTTTGTTGAGTACTGGGTTCTCGGAAAAGGGGGGGAGGGGGAGTCCTGTTGCCCCCAAGCAAACATGTTGTAAATAGTGACTAAAAAGGATTTACTGAAATCGGATGTGTTAAGCTGAAAGGCATAGATATCAAAGCCTGGCTGTAAACCACAACACAATGTACCAACCACCTATTTAAGGGTGTTTGCAGAAATAATATATCGGATACTGGTATACCTGCAAACAGATCCTCACTACTTTAGAATTCTTGCACTAATTTAAATAAGCTCCTGCTTTGCTATAAATAGGAATATCAGAGCATAAGTTTGTCATTACAAATGTAGTGATCATAACCTTTGAAATCAAGCCTACACAGGTCATTTAAACCATTTGCACACATTTTATTTTAAGAGTGCTTTCCCATAGCAGTATACTCACAATGTTAGAGTCACTAAATTAAACAGTCTGTGTCTGGACTGGTCTGGTGAATTGCACATTTTATAAAGCAGTAATATTGTCAGCATAATAATTTTACACACCAGAAAAAAGCATGTCAGCAATGTAAACTGGTATGGGCAGTTTTTTGTGTTAACAAGTCTTTTATTTATCTATTAGTTGTAGTACATTTTACCCCACTAGGACTTCACACAAGCGATAAACACCCGATGACACAAAGTGCCACCATGTGGATGAGGATGGCTGGGCTATATTGTGGCCCCTGGCAAGAGGCAGGATGGGGCTTCAAAACAACACAAAATTATATCTCATAAGAAGATGGGGAGTCGCCGTGGCCGAGCAGCTAGAAGCTCGTCGCGGATCAGAAGGTCATGGGTTCGCTCCCTGTCGGAGCCAGACTTTTCAAAAAAATGACCTTGGCTCCCAGGACGACCCAACCTTAAGTGGGTACCAAGTTCAGTCCCGGGAAAGTAAAGGCGGCCGGCGTGATGCTGACCACATCACTAATCTTGTGCCGATTGGTCTATAAATATATAGGTCTAGCCCTATATGCCCTATACGCCTCATGGCATGGAAAAGGGTCCTTTACTTTTTTTTTTTTTTTTTACTTTTTACATAAGAAGATGACTAGTCTATTTTTTAATATTTATCTATTGTTATGTGAATTGAGTTCTGCTTTAACAGAGTGTAAGTTCTAGCTGGTGACCACAAAATGAATATGCAACAGTTTTATTACAGCCATTTGATGTACAAGCTGCTGTAGACACTTACCTGCCGACCTAAAGGTCAGGGGTTCATATTAACAGTGGGGTGGTTTTAAAAAAATAATAAAATGTACAGGGCTCGCAGATAAACACAGCCTAAAGTGAATACTAGGAAATCGCCAACCTCTGAGAGCTGATTGGTTTATTAAACTATGATCTGGTAGCATTTTTCAATACACTAATGATGTTAGAATCTTCTTCTGTTTATTTGTATGTAATGTACATTGGCAAGAAAGAAATCTATCAGGGCATTTTATTTATTTGAAAAGCATGTTGCTTGATCCAAACAAATTTTTATTTCTAAAATGAGGTACACTAGATGCTTACTACGACCTGGGTTCAAACTTCTAGTAAGGCATAAAATTGTTATCAAAGATAAAACCTTTGGTTTATTAGAGAAACTGGAGCTGAAACAGCCACAGACAAAAGACAACAACAGTGATGGAGAGAAATCTCAGAAGCAAACCGACCCACGGTTAAAAAAGGGCCCTTCAGATCCTCGTCTTAACAAGCCAGCTGACTGTCCAAACAGTGGCAAAGTTGCCGATCCCAGGCTGCAGAGGGCCTTGGCCCAGTCACGACCTGCTGACCCAAGACTTGCTCGACAGATGGTTGGAAATCTAGACCCACGCCTCAGTCGTCAGAATAGTGTAGATGGTGTTTTTTCAAGTGGTCCTATCAACAATATGGGAGGTAGTCCTGTCAACAGTATGGGAGCTGGTCCTATCAACAGTATGGGGGCTGGTCCTATCAACAGTATGTTAGGTGGTCCTATCAACTGTATGTTAGGTGGTTCTATCAACAGTATGGGAGCTGGTCCTATCAACAGTATGGGAGCTGGTCCTATCAACAGTATGGGAGCTGGTCCTATCAACAGCATGGGAGCTGGTCCTCTCAACAGTATGGGAGCTGGTCCTATCAATAGTATGGGATCTGGTCCTATCAACAGCATGGGAGCTGGTCCTCTCAACAGTATGGGAGCTGGTCCTCTCAACAGTATGGGAGCTGGTCCTCTCAACAGTATGGGAGCTGGCTGTATCAACAACATGGGAGGTGGTCCTAATAATAGTATGGGAGGTGGTTCTATGAATACCATGGGAGGAGTAATGAATGGTCAAATGGGAGGCTCAGGAAATGGCATGGGAGTCTTCATGAGTTCACCAGGAGGCTCAGTGAATCCTATTGGTGGGTCCATGAGCAAACGCTTACACAGTATAGGGCCAGGGGTCAACACAGAAAGTCATCTCAGTGTAGCTAATCCCATGAATAACCCAAATATTGGACCAGGAAGGCCATTTCTTGGTAGTGGTGGCCCATTGAACAACACTATGGGTGTTGTTGGTGGCCCAGTGAGAGTTATGGCTGGATCTTTGAATCAGAATGGTGGACCGTATAATCCAGTGTCACCTGGTGCCAGTCAGATGATTAGAATGGGAGGACCTCATGGCCTTGGCAGCAGACTGGGTGGTAGTGGCAGCCCAATGGATAGTCACATCAGGGGCCCATCAAGCCAGCAAAATCCCTTGGCTAATGACCCAGGAATGTTGGACCCAAGAATCAATAATCCTTCAGGTGCACGACCTGGAAATCAAAGAACCGAGATTGATCCACCTGGCATTAATGACCCTAGATTAAAAAACAGGTTAATGGACCCTCGAGAGCAGAGGATGTCTTCAAAAGATCCCAGATCAGCATTTAGAGATGCTCATCAAGGGACTGCTAGCTCTCCCAGTGGTGATGGCATAGGTGATTCGGGGATGATTCAGAGTGATAGTGATTTCAGATCTCTACAGAACAGTTCAAGAGTCCTGGAGGACTTTCAGCAGAGCCCACATTACTTACAAAATGATTTACCATCTTTTCGTGGTCAGAACATTTGAAGTTGTTACAGGGCAGGGAAGAATGGACTCACACTTCTGATCACAAAACAGAGCACAATGAAAGTTTACAGTCACCATCTTCATCATCAATGTTATCTTCGACTCAACATTCAGATGCCGAAAAACCCACTCGCAAATTTGATTACAGAAATGACCCGCGATTCAAGAGAGTGAAAAGATTACCTGGTCAGCCCAAAAACAGTATGGAATATAATTCTCCATTAAGTGGTGAAGACGGCCAGGGGGACACAGACGGTAGAGCTGACCCTGGTTATAATGGTTACTTCAAGTCCAGGCTTCCATCATCAGGAGACCCTCGCAGCAGAACCGTCTCCAGCCCCACACTTCCAGACACACTTCAAGATTTTGACCTTCCAACTTCCTCAGCAGAAATCGCAGCAGAATCAGAACTAGATCTGAAAGTCAAAGACCATTTTAAAACTATTGACCCAACAGCATCACCGTTCTGTTGACGTTTGCTGGTATTTTTTATGTGCTGAAGTTGCTGCCCTGCAGTTGCTCAAGCAGGAAGCTATTAAAACCAGACATGTTCAGTTTATGCTAGTGTACCTACACTTGTGATAGATTTGTAATTATGTATATAGCTGCATACAACAGTCTGTCGTGGGTTTTTACTGGAGCTGTCAAGTTTTCTACTTGTTACAAAGCTGTAGGCAGGGAAACTACTCTGCTTTCCAGAGAGAGGTCAAGCCATATAAGATCAAACCTGGTGCAGTTTAGTCGACCCGCTAGACATTTTTCTATGTTGAAACTTGTTGTAGTGCAAGTTTTACTACAGGGTGAACATGTGCTTTTATCCTTACTTTACTGTATTACTATATCCTTTACTTTCTGGACATGTTTATATTCTGCTTTGGAAAAGCAAAAATTTGCGTTGTGACATCAAATAACTGAAGATTTGGGGTACTGTTATGCCCAACAGTCAGTTCTACTCTTGGCTATATCAAACACTAGACATGTGTTTCTCAAAATACTCTAATGAGCGCTTGAAAATATAGTGTCAATGATTGTTGGTTTTTTATTTTACATTTAAACATTACTGGTCACACTGGGAAAGGGGGGGGGGGGGGGGGGTACCAACAACTCAGGAAAAAAGGATAAAAACATTGTATCAAAAGTTTCGCTGATTTGACACAATCGATGACATTAAAGTAATTATATCTATTTTGTGTGAAACAATGCTTGTAAAAATGAGCGATTTTTCTGTAATTGTGTGTGATTTTCATGTCTAAGCTAGGACTTTACACATTAAATATGTGGAAATAGCGTCATGTGGAACTGGTTTTGTCTCAGTTAATGGCTGCTGTAAAATAATAAAACTTTAAGCGTCAATGATTAAAGGTAAAGCTTGTGTGTGACTTAGCCTTACATGGAAATTGAGAAATTCATGGGAGGTAAAGCTGGCTGGTGCAATGGTATCACAGCAACCATCAGGTGCTAGTTAGTCTGTAAAACATGAGTCTGGCACCATAGACAAGAAACATCACCTGGTGGGAACACGGTCCTTGACTCTTACCTGACTGTGTTAGTGACTGAAGGACATTTCAGGCAATGACTAGGACAGAGACTTGTCAAGCAACGGCTAGGACATTAAAGTTCAGGCAACAGCTAGGATAAAGATTTGTCAAGCAACAGCTAGGTCAGAGAAACATGTCACGCAGCAGCTAGGACAGAGAAACATGTCAAGCAACAGCTAGGGCAAAGAAACATGTCAGGCTACAGCTAGGACAGAGAAACATGACAGGCAACAGCTAGTACAGAGAAACATGTCAAGCAACAGCTAGGACAGAGAAACATGTCAGGCAACAGCTAGGACAGAGAAACATGTCAAGCAACAGCTAGGGCAAAGAAACATGTCAGGCTACAGCTAGGAGAGAGAAACATGTCAGGCAACAGCTAGGACAGAGAAACATGTCAAGCAACAGCTAGGACAGAGAAACATGTCAGGCAACAGCTAGGACAGAGAAACATGTCAGGCAACAGCTAGGACAGAGAAACATGTCAGGCAACAGCTAGGACAGAGAAACATGTCGAGCAACAGCTAGGACAGAGAAACATGTCGAGCAACAGCTAGGACAGAGAAACATGTCAGGCAACAGCTAGGACAGAGAAACATGTCAAGCAACAGCTAGGGCAAAGAAACATGTCAGGCAACAGCTAGGACAGAGAAACATGTCAGGCAACAGCTAGGACAGAGAAACATGTCAGGCAACAGCTAGGACAGAGAAACATGTCAGGCAACAGCTAGGACAGAGAAACATGTCAAGCAACAGCTAGGACAAAGAAACATGTCAGGCAACAGCTAGGGCAAAGAAACATGTCAGGCAACAGCTAGGACAGAGAAACATGTCAGGCAACAGCTAGGACAGAGAAACATGTCAAGCAACAGCTAGGACAGAGAAACATGTCAGGCAACAGCTAGGACAGAGAAACATGTCAAGCAACAGCTAGGACAGAGAAACATGTCAGGCAACAGCTAGGACAGAGAAACATGTCAAGCAACAGCTAGGACAGAGAAACATGTCAGGCAACAGCTAGGACAGAGAAACATGTCAGGCAACAGCTAGGACAGAGAAACATGTCAAGCAACAGCTAGGACAGAGAAACATGTCAGGCAACAGCTAGTACAGAGAAACATGTCAAGCAACAGCTAGGACAGAGAAACATGTCAGGCAACAGCTAGGACAGAGAAACATGTCAAGCAACAGCTAGGGCAAAGAAACATGTCAGGCAACAGCTAGGAGAGAGAAACATGTCAGGCAACAGCTAGGACAGAGAAACATGTCAGGCAACAGATAGGACAGAGAAACATGTCAGGCAACAGCTAGGACAGAGAAACATGTCAGGCAACAGCTAGGACAGAGAAACATGTCAGGCAACAGCTAGGACAGAGAAACATGTCAAGAGACAGCTAGGACAGAGAAACATGCCAGGCAACAGCTAGGGCAAAGAAACATGCCAGGCAACAGCTAGGACAGAGAAACATGTCAAGCAACAGCTAGGGCAAAGAAACATGTCAGGCAACAGCTAGGACAGAGAAACATGTCAGGCAACAGCTAGGACAGAGAAACATGTCAGGCAACAGCTAGGACAGAGAAACATGTCAGGCAACAGCTAGGACAGAGAAACATGTCAAGCAACAGCTAGGACAAAGAAACATGTCAGGCAACAGCTAGGGCAAAGAAACATGTCAGGCAACAGCTAGGACAGAGAAAACATGTCAGGCAACAGCTAGGACAGAGAAACATGTCAAGCAACAGCTAGGACAGAGAAACATGTCAGGCAACAGCTAGGACAGAGAAACATGTCAAGCAACAGCTAGGACAGAGAAACATGTCAGGCAACAGCTAGGACAGAGAAACATGTCAAGCAACAGCTAGGACAGAGAAACATGTCAGGCAACAGCTAGGACAGAGAAACATGTCAAGCAACAGCTAGGACAGAGAAACATGTCAGGCAACAGCTAGGACAGAGAAACATGTCAAGCAACAGCTAGGACAGAGAAACATGTCAGGCAACAGCTAGGACAGAGAAACATGTCAAGCAACAGCTAGGATAGAGAAACATGTCAGGCAACAGCTAGGACAGAGAAACATGTCAGGCAACAGCTAGGACAGAGAAACATGTCAGGCAACAGATAGGACAGAGAAACATGTCAGGCAACAGCTAGGACAGAGAAACATGTCAGGCAACAGCTAGGACAGAGAAACATGTCAAGCAACAGCTAGGACAGAGAAACATGTCAAGAGACAGCTAGGACAGAGAAACATGCCAGGCAACAGCTAGGGCAAAGAAACATGCCAGGCAACAGCTAGGGCAAAGAAACATGTCAGGCAACAGCTAGGACAGAGAAACATGTCAGGCAACAGCTAGGACAGAGAAACATGTCAAGCAACAGCTAGGACAGAGAAACATGTCAGGCAACAGCTAGGACAGAGAAACATGTCAGGCAACAGCTAGGACAGAGAAACATGTCAAGCAACAGCTAGGACAGAGAAACATGTCAGGCAACAGCTAGGACAGAGAAACATGTCAGGCAACAGCTAGGACAGAGAAACATGTCAGGCAACAGCTAGGACAGAGAAACATGTCAGGCAACAGCTAGGACAGAGAAACATGTCAGGCAACAGATAGGACAGAGAAACATGTCAGGCAACAGCTAGGACAGAGAAACATGTCAGGCAACAGCTAGGACAGAGAAACATGTCAAGCAACAGCTAGGACAGAGAAACATGTCAGGCAACAGCTAGGACAGAGAAACATGTCAAGAGACAGCTAGGACAGAGAAACACGTCAGGCGACAGCTAGGGCAAAGAAACATGCCAGGCAACAGCTAGGACAAAGATTTGTCGAGCAACAGCTAGGGCAAAGAAACATGTCACACAACAGTGCAGGAGATCGCAGATTATGGAGAGGCATGATCGCCCACGCCAGTCGGCAAGACACCTGATGATGACTATATAAGGTACAAAATGAAGGAATGCGAATTGTCATGAGTTGCACACAAGATACCCCAATTAGAACAGTGGGATATATGCTTGGGCTGACATTGGTAAAGTCTAGATCAGGACTGTTCAACTAGGTTTACTCATGGGGCAGATATGTAGAAAATAGCGGCAGTCATGGACCAGAGACCCGACCTTAATACTAGAAAAACCATTAAATGCCAGTGATCTGTGGACTGCTTGCTAGGCCTCTGTGGGCTGCTCACTAGGCCTCTGTAGGCTGCTTGCTAGGCCTCTGTAGGCTGCTTGCTAGGCCTCTGTAGGCTGCTTGCAGTTATAAAAAGAAATCTTGCTTGCTACATACATCCAGTTTTAACATATGGCTATGAATCATGGACAATCGGTAGGCAGGCCAAACAATTTCTTGAGGTCTCAGAGATAGGGTTTTACAGAAGAATGCTTAAAATACCCTGGACAGTCAAAAAGAGCAACCAAGAGGTTTTGAAAGAGGCGGAAGCCCAAAGACAACTTATCACAGACATCAGGAGACAGTCATCATTTTTCGGCCATGTTATAAGAGGAGGGAGAATGGAACATGTTGGCGCAACTGAAAAGATCTGTGAAAGGAGGGACAGAAGAAGACAACGAGAGTAGATTCTTGACAGTCTTGTTGCATGGCATGGAGGTGTGTCAGCAGATTGTGGAGAGGCATGATCGCTCACGCCAGTCGACAAGGCACCTGATGATGATTATTTTATGTGCAAAAAAATGTTCAGTATTCTTCTGTAGCCGTCATTTTCTGGTCTGTTGTCCTTGTCTCTTGTCCTCTCTGCCCTTTCCCCTCCCTCATGTCCTCTACCATGGCTGCTACACCGGGGTTGGTGATGCTGCTGTGGTTAGTGGTTATATTGTTGTTGGTGATGCCGCTTGGTTAGTTGTTATATTGTTGTTGGTGATGCCGCTTGGTTAGTGGTTATATTGTTGTTGGTGATGCCGCTTGGCTGGTG